GGAAATGTCATCTGATTACAACCTGGACAGGCCCACATGACACCTACAACTTGAATCATTTGTACATTTTCTGTTCTCATTTTTAAGACTTTGTTCTTCCAACCTAGTTTGTTCCACATTACTGCTGTGGAAGGGCACTATATGTGTAGACACTGTGTTCTGAAGAAGCAGCAGTGTTTGACTGTGTTGTAGCAAACTGGTCATGTCAAAGGTCACATGCTGGTCTGCATGGTTTCCATCATTAAGTTGTAATTTGCCATGTAAGTTTTGCTAGTCAGGTTTGCTTTACCCACACTTAAGCTCATCTAAAAATTTAATTTTGCCTGGCTTCACCAGAGACTGGAGTCGCTATCCTTAAAGAAGGCTATAGATCTATTTGAATGACTGTTTTGTCTCTTGAGCTCATTGTTTAGGTTCATCCCTCGCTTTGTTGACTTTGTTATCTGACTTTCCAGAACTCAAGATTCAAATGTTCTCAATCTTCTTGGCTGAATAAGGAACGCATCTTGGCCATTGACCAACTATTCCATCATTCCTCGTTGTGAATTTTTAAACTTTCGACCTTAAACTTCTCTTAAGTTCTCTTGCAGGACATTTATCAAATACACATCGTCCGCCATCCTGGACCGCCATTGAACTGACAAGTCAGATAATTTATGCCCAACAAAATTCTGCGGGCAGTTATCTGACTGGCTAAGACTAACAAAAGAGTCCTCTCGCGTACAATCGGGCCTTCTGGGGAGGAGCGTGGGCTCCTTTCCCTAAAAGCAGCTTGTAAGATCAAGCCTAGATATTACATGGTGGCGGGAAGATATGACTTTTATGTTTGAGTGGCAAGAACAATATCTTACGAGTGAGCGCTCTGAACGAGTGAGATATTGTTCTTGCCACGAGAACACAAAATTCATATATCTTCAAGCTAACATGTAATGTTCTTTTTATAATATAGACTGATGACGATTTTCCGAAGATTTCCAACCAATTTCTGAAGATTTCAGAAGATTCTCCAAAACTTGTCCAAAGGTCACACAAACGTTGCCGAATATTTTCCGATAATGTCCAAAGATTTCCAAAGATTGCCAAAGACTTTTGAGGAAGACCCAAAGATGTTTCGATCGAGACAAACTTGATATCAATGAAATCATAGATCTTCACTAGTGAGGATATGGAAAATATGCCACCTGAGTCCTGGACGTGTTTTCAAATGAATTTTACAAGTGGTGTATTTTCCAGTAAAACATTCATGTCTATATAATAAAGGAAAATAATAGATTCTGTGTTGCTGTGTATCTGTTTAATAATTGATCTCAGATGACATCAAAATGTGGTAAGTGCAAAAACAGTGGCACACAAGGTAATAGCCAAGTGTGTCACTGAATGTTCTTAGTACCACATTTTGAGGTCTTCTGTGACAAACAGACAAAATGCACCATGGAATCTACTTGATGTTAATCTGAGTAATGTTTTATGCCAATATCTGTAAAGTTATGTACCCAATCAATTTTTGTAAAGTATGGAATTTAAAAAATAATATCATTTGTAAAATTGTATGTTCATGTATGTCTAATTTAGTTAGCGACATTCCCTAATTTTTAAACATGAATGTGTTGTGAAAAATATTTGAAGGATAATAAACACATTTAGCTTCCATTTGGTATGAAAGTATGAACTGATATTTGTCCTTGGACATTATCTGTTCCTCAAAGCTCACAGTTTTTCTTGAGCTATGTTCTTGGAAAACTGTTCACTTCTCAGAACAGATAACGACCTTGGACAAATATCCAAACATGTGTTTGTAGTGTGTTTTTTTTTCTGTAAGTTTTTTATTCTTTAATTTGTAATTTATTGGTGTTTAATGAATTTCATATGTAATCATTTTTAAAAAATGGAATCTACTTGTTCTATTTAATAACAAAACAAAAAAATGTTATGTAGATGTCCTCCACCAGATCATAAGTGAGAACCAATTAAAATGCCAGTTAGAATACGTAATTATATATTTCTGACCGGATTCACAAAAACATAGCCATAGAATTTTACTTGTCACTGATAACCTTGATC